TAATTCCGTAAACAGATGCATGTTCAAAATCTCCATCATGATCTTGTGATCTTAATATATTTTAGATATTTTAATTTTTTCCCTCTTGGGGAATACATTCAGTATAGTGTAGAAAGGACTTAATGACATTTTCCTACATAAACATAAAATTTATTGTAGATAATTCTTTAAACCAGACATTTTAATCTAGGACTTCAGTTTAATCTCTTCCTTGAATCTATTTTTATGTAGCCCTTAAAAACATATCCAAAAACCCATTACTAATATAGCGATAAAAATACTTTGGGTATTGCAGTGTTTATATATAAAATTGCAAACTTGAATTCATATTCTTTTCTGTAATATGTTATACTAAAATCAAAATGCTTTTGCACCATTTTTTAAAACAATATTTTCTTTTGATGTTGGTACCATATTTACTGTAAATGCTGCTCTGGGAGTTAGACATTTTGTTAGTGAAGATACAGCCAGAACACTAAATTATGGGTAAAAAATTCAGACTAGGTGGCATAGGTAAGTATTTTTAGGCTTCATTCAGAATTTAATTATCATATGATGCCATTTTTTCTGGAAAGGAAAAAACATGGTTTGTTTTTCATTGTTAGGTTGTATTTTTCTGTAGGAAAGAGGAATTTTTTGGTCCATGTTGTAAGCCTCATTCATACTTCAATTTTAAGGTTGTCTTGTGTGTATTTATAGCAAATAGACGACTTTGAGATTGGAGGCTCCTAAGAGTTTGATTTGCTCATTTTTCCCTAAAATAAATACTGTCTTTCAAAAAGAAGGGAAGGAAGGAAGGAAGGAAGGAAGGAAGGAAGGAAGGAAGGAAGGAAGGAAAGAAAGAGAAATGGTAGTGAGGAAGACAGGAAACAATGGTTTCCTAATTTCCCTCCCTCAAAGATGTGAGATTTGCTGTACTGTCTTCCATAAGCTATAGTTCTGTAGGAAGGAAGTTACCCCAGAAGTGATTCTAGAGGTGGCAGTTGTAACCTCTTAAAAATGTGTAATTACTACTGCTTTTCTAATTGCAAGCTACTGCAGATACCCCATATCAAACCGCTACAATTGAACATCGCATAGTTTCTAACTTCTCTCGTCAGCAACACTCTAAAGAACATTCTTATGTAGATAATTATTTTCAAATACCTATAATTATTTCCTTAAAAATTTCTAGAAGTAAAATCCCTAAAGTTTATCCAGTTTTAAAAGCTTTTGATACGTACTGTCCAACTGCCTACCAGAAAATCTGAAGCAATCTAGATATCGCAAACCTGACCAACAAAGGGTACTATGATTAAACAACAAAACATTTTAATGGGTGAAACGTTGAAAGGCGTTGTTCCATAGCTTTATTAGTGAGGTTCAACATTCGTGTTTGCAGTTAATTGCTTATTAAATTTTTATTGAGGTGTTCATCTTTCCTTATTGACTTGTGAAACTCATTATGAAAGATAAACCCCTGTGATAGTTTCTATTTACCAAGAACACAGGCAGAAATTCCTTTTGCTATATTTTATCTTTTAATCTCATTGCCCCTTATTTACTCAATTTTCATCTCATAAAACTATAAGCTATAAAATTAACAAGGTTCCCTTAACAATCTTTAAAAACCAAGATGTGGGTCATATTTGTTTCTCGTTATCATGCTATACATTTACTTGTATTCCTGGTCACTTTTGTCCCATCCTTATTTCTCTTTCTTCTTTTATGGCATGTCAAACTCCTGCTCCTTTCTGGAATAAGGTGAGGTATAATTAAATATGTAAATATTTCTACTATTTACTAACATTTATTGTGTAATAGGACTCCCCATCCTACGTTTTTATGAAAACATCTTCCACAAGAGGGACTTTGAAGGGCCTGAAAATTTTAAAGGGTAGAGGGAACTAAAAAGAAAACACGCTGACAGTGGTAGTCTATACCAATTTTAAAAAAAGAATGTGATTCCCAACCTTGAAATGAATGTTTTATGTGAAGCTCATAAACACATCTGATTCTCTGATTATCATGTCCAAGATTGGCTTTAGAGTAACAGGGATAGGGGTGGAAATTCAGAGGAGGCTATTTTGGAAATGGAATTGGCCATAAATTGATTGTTGAAGCTAGGGGATGCTATAGGGAGTTCACGGAATATTTTCCTCATTTTTGTGTGTGCTTAAAGGTTCCCATAGTGAAGAGTTCAATACAGGGGGAAAAAAATCATCCATAATCTCATCAAAAGCATCTGTTAATACTTTGGCATATCTTTCCAGTTAAAAACAAAACAAAACACCGTGTAGGTTGAGAAATGTGAAATCTCTACACTAAAATAAATTATCTCCTCTTTTTCTATTACATTCTTGTGCATCACAAACCCCAAACTGGATTTGGCAGCTGTATCCCACACTATTATCCAGACAAATCCTGTGCGTTCTGAATGAGGAATCGGGGGAGGAATGTACCTCATTTACCTTCAAATGCCCTGGTTACATTTCAATCTTCAAATGTGAAACTAAGCCACCAAATAAGCCAAATCTGAGATATTTATGCTTCCTCTCTAATAGGGAGAAAGGAAATGTAATGGCCAATACGGTCATACTCAAGTACCATCTGGAGTTTTAAACCCAAGCTACTTGATTAACACCCTAGCAAGCCAGTCCCCCGTAATCTACCCTGCTGTGGCCGGGCTTTCTCAGGATTCCTGAGACCTCATGCAGGGGGAATTCCTGGGTTAAAGGAGGTGCACAGGTTTTGTGATTTAGTTACATAATCAAGCAAAACTTTTATTGCCGGCCTGAGCTAGTGAGTACCATCCTCTCAGCCTAGGAAGTGAGGCCGTGGGATTTCAGCTCCTCAGACCACACCGGTCTGCAGCGCACACTCGCCCACAAATCAGCTTTTGTTGCTACTTCTGTTTCATTTTATTTTTTCTCCTAATTGACTTTATTAACTTTTCCAAGAACAGAAGCCACCTTCTCTTGTGTCCTCCCGGGGAGTCAAGTTCAGCTGGGGTCCCCAACTCTGGGTAATTGTGTCATTTGAAACAAAGAATCGTTGTCCTTCGTTCGTGAAGAGGCAACATGCCCACCTACTGCGCTAGGAAAGAACCTTTGAAGTGTTTCTGTTTTGCTGAGAGGAGGTGTGATTTCCGAGCACACTCTGGTTGGGATCGCAGGTAACGGACGGCACTGACAGGCGCGTCTACGCTGGTGACAGCGACTGGCTTTCAGTCTCACACCTGTGTTAGGCGGTTATCCCCAGGAGGCCTCATCTTCTCGACTGCACACTCTGGACAGGCAGGATCCACGTTCGGTTTCCTTGTACTCTCTGCACGGGCCTCTTCCACACCTGTCTGCTCTTTGGGGAGGGGCTCTTCTCTGCCTGCCAGGCCAGTGTCCCCAAAACAGGAGCAGCTGAAGATGGACCGCATATAAAGGACCGTTGTTGAAGTCCTAATGTGTCATTAACCTCCAACGTCGAGGGAAGAACCAGACAGGAGCCAGAAGGATGGTACTGGGCCCCCCGTTTGCCTTGAGGGGCCCAAATCCCAATTCAGCGAATTCAGATGTTGCTTACCTTTCAGCGGATGAGTAAATTTAGAATCATTTACAAGTTCATTGAACCTCATCCAAAATGGCAGGGTTTTTTTTTTTAATTAAAAATTTAAATAATGTTTAAATACCTAGGAACCCACCACAAGAACCAGAAGATAACCAGTAACATACGAACCTGTCCCTCCAGGTCTTTGCCACCCTCCCACACATCCCACTGGTAACCAGTCCTTTTGTTCATATTATAAAAAGGCTATCGTAAGGTAGGTGGTCTTCTGCCTTTTTCTAGCTGCAGCTGAAGTTCCTATAAATGCTGCCCCTGGAGCACCGGGTCCCCTGGGGAGGCCCTCTAAGCCTGGACACCACTCCAACACTGGCCACAGGACTGGGCGTCCACGCCAGGGACACATTTTCCGAGACACCCGCAAGGCGTCCTCTTTGCGGGTCCTTATTCCTCCTCCCTGCCCTTGTGCACTAAACTAAGTGAAACTGGAATGCAGGTTTGACTGGGACTCTACACCCAACTTTCCAACTGCAGACCCTTACATCTCGAGTAGACAGTTCCTGTTTAGGCAGGTACCCGGGTCAATGGACAGCACTTGAAGGCTTCCAGCCAACGCTCTGCCTTCCCACACAGAAAAGCATAATCCACACATCCTGGGGGGAAGGACAAGGCGTATGTGGTTAAGTGTTCCATCTTTGAATCCTGGCTCGGCTGCTTCCTAGCTGTGCACCTTGGATGAGCCCCGTGCCCTCTCTGTGCTTCTGTTTCTGCATCTCTAAACTAAGGGCAACCCTACAAAGTGGGGCTGTTAGGACCATTCAAAAACTACTGTGTACCTTGGTCCGTGTCTACGTTAGTAGTATTTTACATACATACACCGTCTCCTCGTGGAAGCCCCTCTCTATAGGTCCTGGTTATGTTATTCCCTTTAACAGAATGAAGAGATGAATAAATTAGGACATGGTATCACCAATTCATGATCTTCAGCCATGGAACCTCAATGCTCTGTATAGGACGGAGTATAGACCATACAATCTTGTCTTCTGAGGCCATGTCCAGATGCAGCAAAGATCCAAATCCAAATCCAAAACAGCAACGAAGCTGTTCTCTCAGCCTGGTCTTGCCTCCTCGGCACGTGGCAGCCTTTGCACCCCCAGGGGCTTAGGCTGGTGGTCTGGGCCCTCTGATCTATGCCAAGCATTGCTGCATCATCCCACTGCCAGTGATAAAAAGGGACTTGAGAGAACCCTTTCCCGGTGAAATTGTGGATGGACAACACTACTTTCTCAACACCGTGAGACAGTGACATGGTACTGCAAAGTAGTTTTATCATCCAGTTTGAAGTACAATATTGGCCAGAACAGGATTCTGGACCCTTAACAGAAATCAACACCATCAACCAACCCCTTCAATCCCATTCCAACCTCTACGAACCCAATCCTACCAAGACCCAGAAAACAACAATGTAAACAACATCCATACTCACTTTATTTTCAAACAGAGGGTCATGTACCCAAAGGGAAGCAGGATTAAGAACCACTGTGGTCATCGGCCTTAGACTTCTGGCCCCAGAATGCCTCGTGACCCAGTGGCTATGGGGATGGAACTGCCCCTTGATGGTACACATATTAGAAAGGTCAATCCCCCCATTCCCCAAAGGAGATGGAGAAAAGGAGGCAAGAACTCAGTGAACCCCCGGAACACCGCCTCAGAATCATTCCAGGGACGGCGTATGACTGACCGTCAGCCCGCAAATGTGAGTGGGAGGGGGTCTAGGAACAACGGATGGTGCTGGCGGAAAATTATCCTGGATGCTGTGCACCCGACACCAGGATACACCTTTCATTAGAATGAAGGGAGCAGACAAAGCCCTCGGAAAAGACACAGAGGCAAAGAGCACATTGATTAGAACATTATCTCGTAACAGAGGTGGGGCCATTTCCCACCATTATTGTAGAATAACTGGAACTAATCAAAACACATATAGGCCTCTTTAATGGAATTAATAAAACTACGGCAGAATGGGAACTAGGGGTAGAGGTACTATTCCCAAAGGAAAAACCGGGTTAGAGGGAGCCATGCTGACAGGCCAGGTAGGTCCACTCCAAGTTCTTAGAAAGGAGCCCTGGTCCGGAAAACAGCAAACATCCACGATCACTACGTGGGGCTGAACCAGGGGGAGCCAGGCCGAGCCACAGTGAAGCATCCTGATGGCTCTCCAGGGGTTATCCCTACTCTTTATACCCCTCCAGTAATGTGTAAAACCGGAAGTGTGGCAACACCGGGTTTTTATTTCTGGGCAATCTGACAGTTTGCCTGGGAAGGGGAAGGAGAGTGGACACCCGTCTCCCACGGCAGCTCATGGGGAGTGGCAAGGACTTCCAGCCGTGACGAGCGGAAGGAGGCAAGGCAACAAGAGGCCTTATGCCTAGGGTGGGATTATGGCCAACAGCCCTCCTGGCCCAGGTTCACCTCCTCAAGGGGAGGTCTCCATGGAATGAGCATGACTGCCAACATGGCCAGAAAACCCATCGATGCCGCTCATGGGGCAGATGATGAGAGGGGCTGCGCTCTTCCCTCCCGAGTAACTCAGACTGAAGTAGGGCCGGACAGGCCCACAGAAGGTAGCGTGAGAGAAAGTAAAGGTGTGACACCTCTCTGTCACGTTGTAGAAGGAGACCTCGCCAGCATCATAGTCCAAGAAAATCCCCACCCGTTGGAGAGGGGTCCGCAGGGGGAGGGCAGTCATTGGGGAGGTAAGAGCCCAGTATTCTTTCCCATACCACAAGGACACTGCCCAGAATCCATTCTGGGGGGCCGAAGTGACTCCACCTTTTCTGCACACTGAGTCTTCACAGACACCTATGGTCCACTTGGCTTTATCTCCCACCTCTACCTCCCAGTAATGTCTCCCAGCGATGAAGCATGGAGAGCCCAAGACACAGGGAAAGAGATTGAACCGCTCGGGGTTGTCAGGCAGGTCCTGCTGGAGATAACTGTACCGCACTTGCCGCAGGTTGTCGGAGAGGATCAAGCTGGGGTAGGCTGTGTCTGGGTCCAGAGTCACATCCACTGCGGAGACACAGAGGGGACGGGGGGAGGGTCAGCCGAGGGCCAGGAGAGCACACCGGAGGACACCCAGCTCGTTCCTACCCCCCCCCCCGAGAACACAAGCATCCCACGAGAGGCTGCATTCATCTTACGGAATTCATCCTGCAGTTTACATTCCAAAAATCATTGTTTGGAATAGCTGATTACTTTCCTAAGCCAAGACATATCGAAGGTACTGAGATTTTACCTCCATTCCCTCTCTTTTAAACATCTTAAGCCACAGTATCCATTATAAACTGAATTCCCAACTTAAATTTTGGGGTTCTGGCTATGTGCATTGGGGACTGAAGCCTGTATCACTCTTCTGGGGGTGCCTGGGTGGTGCAGTCGGCGCAGGTCGTGATCTCAGGGTTGTGGGATCGGGGCCCCTGACAGGCTCTGTGCTCAGAGCGGTATCGGCCTGGGTTTCTCTCTCCCCCCTCCCTCCATGCGTGCAGGCACACTAACAAATAATCTTAAAAAGAACCACTCCTTTATGTCCTCCATTCCATGAGATCTTTACTCAGCTGTGCAAACCCCGTTCATCTTTTTCTAATGTCCCATGCGACACCCACGTCTTCCTCAAAAAGCCGCTGTTAACCAGCCATTCCACTCTCCCTCTCTCCTAAACCGGCAACTGCCACCCACGTCATGGGCTCGGGTGCTCAGTAGTACAACATCTTGCATCCGTGTGCTGCCTTCCGGCTTTAAAGCCCCGGTGTGATTCCCTCAGCTGCTGTTCAAGCCTTGCTCAGGAGGAAAACTCCCCAGCCTCTCCGGACCTCGGCTCAGGCAGGCTAAGTGACTCCCACAGGAGGGTCATGACGGGCAACCGTGGAGGTGGCCAAGAGCCCCGGGTACCAGGCTCGTGGTTCAACCATCCGTGCATAGCAGTCACTGAGCTGTCCCCCAGGTCATGGGTGTGCCTCATACCCCCAATCAGACACCACACTCCGAGCTCTCCTGTTCCCCCATAGAAGCCCGCACAACGTTAGACAGTGTAGGACTTATGCACGGTATCCAGCTAATACTTGCTGAAAGAACAAATATGGATCAGTGGCAGAAAGAACACCTGATGCACATCTCTCTTCACGGATGATTCCAACTAACGATGGGAAGTACACACCTGAGATTGAGTACCCCTGGGACCACAGATGCACCCGGTCTCCCGACCCTTCGGTGACGGTGACCATCAAGGGGAGCTTCGATTCCTGCCCCAACAGAGAGTGGATGACCCGAGATTCCTACACTCCCCAGCACTCAGAGGAAGAGGCGGGCCCCCTAACTTTCTGGAAGGATGACTGCTTTTTGCAGAGCACACACTGGGGACTGCAGCTTCTACTCAAGCACCTGAGCTTGATTTCCGCCTACTTCAAAGGTCATTGGCTTCAGCTCTGAGGCATTGTGGGAGGCAAAGATATTGTAAACATATAGAAACAATCAATGGTTTTTTTTGTGGTTGCTGTTTATGACTTTGATACACGTAATCTAAAGAACCCCAATTCAGGCAATTTCCAAAATCATTCACAACAGTAGTTAAGTCTTTAGGACTTTTCCTCCTGTTTCCACATGGTTTTGTCTCCATCACCTACCTGAGTATAACTGAGCTTCTCTCAATTCTGAAAGAACAAAAGAGAAGAAGTTAGGATGTGTGAGTATTTCCAAGGACTACCTAACTGAAGGAGCTCCCGTTAGAGTTCCCATAGGCTACGGTCGCATTAGACAGCCCGGAACTGCCGTTGTCAGTCTTGTGCTGACTTTATGCACCATCTGACTCCATCGCTCAACCAAGAGCCCTAAAGGAACAGGGACAGCCCTGCAGGGGGAAACACGGTTCCAAGTCCACGTCATACGCAACTCTCGGCTTTCATAAGCCACCTCTGTTCTAGAGGCTGGGTGGATCAACTGGGAGATGCCCACTGCCATGCTGGGGCAAACAAGACCACTCCAGAGGCACTTAAACAGTGGACAAAGCATGTTCACAAATAAGCTCTCACGAGCCTTTTAAGTGACAGGGGAGGAGAAATCAATGAGAGCCTGATCAAGGAGTCATGCCTTCCGGTGTCGCCCACGGTGTCTAGTGCAGTTTGTCCCTATTTGTTTGATGGTGGAAGACATTCGAGTGTCCCCTACATATGTATCTGAAGAGATAAAGTGCAAACAAGGTCTTAGGATACATCACACATGAAATCACCAGAGATTGTGGGGATTTGTGATGTGTAACAATTAAGAAAAGGGTTTACCTACATACAGAGGTTTCAGATCCTACTAGACTGTCCAGGAATTTTAGCACTTAGGATAGAGCCAACTCCTAACCGAATGTGGCTCATGAACAGAAAATTTCACACGTAGAAGGGCTTCCCTTGAATACCTAAACCTCATAAGGTTTAGGTATTTACCTAATAAGCGCTGCTTGATCCCCCTGTCCCGACTGGCACCAAATGCCCACGAGCAGGAGGAGCTCAGCAAATCATAACTTTAAATACCGGCTCAAGTGAAATGCAGCTAGGATAGTTTCTGTTCATTCTTTATTCTGGATTAATTCATTTTTAGACTGCCTGATTTTCACCCCCCATCAAAATAGACTGAAAGCTGAGTGCATATAAAGGACTTCATATTCAAAGAAGAGGCTATTAACTGAAACAATTAAAGCAAAAGGAAGATGCAGAAGATCCGAGGAGGCTGGCCAGTGAGTGTCAACCCCCCTCACACTTCCCCCCACTTTTAAAGGAGATGTCCATCTTCCCAGGAAACTTCAACATCAAAAGCCCAGTAAATACATGAATTTACCTTGGATTTTCTCCATATCTGACTGCATTTTTTCTAAGGAGAGAAAAGACGACCATCAGTTTGCATCCCACATCTGGCTGGAAAATATATACCCCTCTCAGTCAAGACACAGATATTCAGAGCATGAATGCATTTCCCCTGATGGACCCTCTCCTCACATTACCTGTGAACTGCTTCAGGCTCTCGGTCAAGAATAGACATTTTTGTGCAAAAATGTGGATTTTCTCTTGCAGATCTGGAGGTGTGATCCAGGGCTCAGGGATCCTGATTCTTTCAGCTCTAAGTTTAAAAAAAAAAAAAAAAATGAGTAACTCCCTCCCCCACCCCCACACCTGGAGGGGCCCAGACAAAGCCCGGGTTAGACTGACTGGCGGGTCCTTATATAAGCAGCCACCACACTTCTCTCCGTCCTCCTAGACTGTCATCCTCTAGACAAGAGCGGAGAAACATCTTACTCATTTTCATTCCCCCCATAGCACCTAGCTCATGGATTTTCAAATGGCCTGTCCTCAAAAAGGTTTACTGAATTAAACTGAACATAAGGCTGACCTTGCCAGAAAGCACTAGATTCCTAGACAAAGTCCTGGAGATTCATGGTGGGCAACAACCCAGAGCCCTCGGGTTCCCAAATGGGGTGAGAAGCCCTCCAGACAGGTACCCGCCCTGCTCAGGGGGTCCATGGCAAAAACCGATTGCCGGCTGCCTCCCCAATACCCCATTTCCCATCTTCCAAGTTATATGGGGTTCGTGGCTGCCCAGTCTAGATGGGACCTTGTGACCGAGTTCTGGCCAATAAGAGGTAAGGAGTGTCTCGTGGTAATTTGAGAAGCCTGCTTAAAAAGGAGTGTGCTGTGATTTACCGCCCCCGCCCCGGGCTGGCTGAACGATCTCAGACTGCCAGATCGACGACCAGGACTCAGGGACGGCAGGAGAGTGAACAGAAGGAGACCAGCAGCCCAGCCCAGGGCTACCTACCTGCACATTTCCTATATGGCAACAATGTCTTAAATTACGTGTAAGCCTTAAGCCAATGAAATTTTGGGTTTCCTCTCTCATATAGCCAAACCCAAGCATTAATGTCACAAAGTGCGAGGCTCTGAAGATCTAGCTCCCTGTGCTGGACCAGAACGAGACTGGCATTGAAAAGCAAAGGTAACAAGTCAGGGCAGTAATCGCTGGGGCCATCAGGCTGGGACTGGACACGTTCTAACCCCTCTCCCTCAAACCCCTCAATTTTACCAACATAATCTACCCACATGGCACTCCCAGCCGACCCAACCCATCTACAAGGCCCTGCCCCAGCCCTGCAAAGGTTCCCACACAGCCCGGCTGCATTCCTCTGGAGGGTTTTCACCATTCGGTATCTGCACCAGCTTCAAAGTTCAGCTCCTTCAAAGTCAGTCTCTGCCCTGTGGGCTCTCCTGCACAAAGAGCATGTTCCCAAGGCCGACCCTGCCTGCCCTCACGTCTGCCCTGCAACACAAGCGAGCCTTGCCATCTGCCCACTTAGAGGTCTCCCTGCTCCCAGAGCTTCTCCTCACCCCCCACCTGATGACACAGCCGAGCAATAATGAGGACGAGAGCCAGAATCCAGGTAACCCAGCACTAATTCTGTAACTCTGAGCCAGTCACACTCTTCTGAGGCCATATTTTCCCCTTTACGGAATTAGGGGGCAGTAGCGGGAGGACTCGGAAACCCTGAAGCAGCAATGACCACAAGAAACCGTGCACTTCGCCCAGGTGTGTGTGAGCCTTCACTCTCCATGGACACATCCTCACAAACCATGGTAGCCCCATCCTACCCTCACCCTCCCAATTTGCCAGTAATTCCTGAGCTTTACTGAGAACAGGTCCATCTAGCTCTTTGCACACAAGTGACTTGTTCACAGACGGGCAGGGTATGTGTCACTCTAGTAAGATGTCCTTCTCAGGGCTCCTTCCAGGATTTATGAGCACAAGGGAAACATCCTCCTGCACTTGATTTAACACTGGGGAGGGAGAACACGGTACCTGCTCAATGTGTCCCCGATGTCCTACAAGAGAAAAGAAAAGGGTAACCATGAGAAGTCGTAGAAGTTGTAACTTCAGTCTTCTTTCAGATGTTTGCTGAAAACCCAGCTACTGGGTGGCCCTCCTGCGAGAAGCCAGGGAGACAAGCAACAGGACTCACAGTCAAGGAGCCAAAAATCTGGGACGCACGCTATTCCTACCCAGCCTTTCCTACGTCCCGCTCCTGCCCTACTGGCCAAGGATCTCACGACTTCAAATTTCCTAACAAGTACCCCACCCTTGGACCACAACTGCCTACTTGTCCTGCTTGCTTTGACTTTTTATTGTGAAGTAATTTCAAATACGCAGAAAAGCTGCTAGCACAGAGCTCCTGTATACTCCTTCCCAGACTTACCAGATTATTATAACCACGTTTATATTCAGAACCATTTGAGAGATCACTCTTCCCATTATATAATGTATCTTTGCCCCCTCAGACTTCTGTATTTCCTAAGGGCAAGTACATTTTCTTACACAACTACGGTCCAGTTATCAAATCCAGGAAAAGGAACATTGATCTAATGATCAATAAATCAATGATCTAAATGAACCTTTCTCTAACCCACAGCCATAGTCTAGTTTAACCAATAAAGTTACTTGCAGCTACCCACCTCCCCGCTCAGTAGTCCATGACCATTCTCCACACTGAGCTATCACCACACGTATCTGGAATCGTTCCTTAGCACTGATTTCTTTCGTGGCACTGACGTTGGTTTAACACAGGCTATTCATTCTCCAGGAGGCCATCCCTCCTTTGGAGTTTGTCAGCCATTCCCCTCATGATTAAGTCCAGGCTGTATCATCTTTGACTAGTGTATGGTATGTCCTTCTAAAGGTACATGATACTCACTTGCCCCTTACTGGCCATATTTGGATCACTGAATAGCTACTATCTTTCCTTTTGTAACTAATAAGCAATCTAAAAATGATACTTCGAAATTATGTTAATACTCTAATCCTTACCAAACTTCCTCCCTTAGATTTAGTATCCATTCATAATTACTGTCTGAATTAGCTTTTACTACGATGAAAAGGGTCCTCGGCTAGCTTCAAAATTCCTTCTATGTTACTTAGTCAACGTTTTACCACAAGGAGTAATTTCCCCATATATTATCAGTATGGACTCATATATTCTTATTTTATTTAATAGGTTATAACCCATCACTGTTCTTATTTATTTTGGTGCTCAAAAAGTCTGAAAGTGGGGCGCCTGGGTGGCTCAGTCGGTTAAGCGTCTGCCTTCAGCTCAGGTCATGATCCCAGGGTCCTGGGATCGAGTCCCACATCGGGCTCCGTGCTCAGCTCGCTAGTGATCTCTGTGACTATCTCCGCCTCTCTCTAACAAATAAATAAAATCTTAAAAAAAGTCTGAAACTTGGCCAGAGAGTCTCTGTCACTTTTTAATCCTATCCTTTCCCACCCCATTTTCCCCATTCCCATCTGGTTTACGCCTCCACTGTTTCCTCTGCAAAAATAAGCAGATACATGATGTTCCAATTATCTTTTTTTCTTACAAAAAAGTAGCACAGTCCATATTTTGCACTATGATTTTCACTTAACAATACATTCCCGGAAACCACTCTTATCAGTTCACAGTATCTTCCTTACTCTTTTGTACAGCTGCATATTTAGTCCATGGTACACACACACATAGTTGATTCAACCACTCTTCTTGGTTTGGAAGATGGGTTTTTCCCAATATTTTGCAATTACAAACAATGTTACATCAAGTAACCTTGTATGTATGTATTTTTGTACATATTTTCATATCGTCAAGGTAAATTCCTGAAAGGACTCTTGGTCAAATTCTAACTGCATGTATACTTTTGTTAAATGCTGCCAAAACAATGTCTTCTCACCAGCATATGAGATTCACTCTCTCACATCCTTGCTAACAGTATACTGAATTAAGACAACTTTGCTATTCTAACGGGGGAGAAAAGGTATTATAGTATAGTATGTTTTTTAATTTGCATCTTATTAAAAGTACAGAACACATTTTCACAAGTTCATGGTCCAATTTTACTTTTCTTTTGCAAATTGCCTGTTCATATCTTTTGCTCATTTTTCTATAGAACTTGTCTTCAACCCCCCTCAATTTTTTGAACGTTCTTTATATACTATTTCTATTATCCCTATTTGTGATATTTGCTGCGCTTTTCTTTCAATTTGGCACTAGTCTTTTGAAGACTTATTTATTTATTATTTTAGCGAGAGAGAATGTGCATGGGAGCAGAGGGAGAGGGAGAATCTCAAGCAGACTCCCCACTGAGCACAGAGCCTGATGCGGGGCTCGATTCTAGGACCCTGAGATCATGACTTGAGCCAAAATCAAGAGTCAGATGCTCAACCGACTGAGCCCCCCAGGCAGCCCATGACACTGGTCTTCTGAATGGTTACAGTGTCTGTGTGTTTTTCCGTTGTGCGATTACCAGCTGTCTTAGTTACACAGGCATTATAGTAAAGGCTTGTAATTGTTTTTATCTAACTACACTGGTTAAAACCTCCAGTACAACGTTAAATAGGGGTAGGGAACAGTGGGCAGTGGAGACAAAGCAAATGTCCGTCAGCTCATGAATGCAACACAGGGAAACAGCATGTGGTGTTTATCCATACAACGGAATATTAGCCAGCCGTAAAAAGAAGAGAAATACTGATCCGCGCTAAAAGACAGATGAACCTTGAAAAAAGTATATGGAGTGAAAGAAATTGACACAAGAGGCCACATATTATAGGCAAACCCCCAGAGACACACAGCAGATTGATGGCCGCCAGTCGGTGGAAAGGAATAAGTGACCATTGAATGGATACAAGGTTTCCTTTTGCGGTGAGGACGGTGTTCCGGAACCACACAGTTGTGAGGACTGAACACTTACTTGCTTACTTACCAAATGCAACTGAGTTGTACACTTTGAAATGGCCGAAATGATGGAGCTGATGCTATATATGTTTTATCACCATAACAGAACAAACCAAACCCTCAACTCCATCTTATAAAGCCCTAATCTGGGATGCACCTCACTATCTATTTTCCCTATGTCTGCACCAGAGCAGTCATGGGCTCAGGAAGCAAAGCTGAAGAGAAAGTCACACAAGGCAGACTGGCCCCAGTACAAACTGACGGTCACCCACCAAGTAATCCTCCTGTGTCTCACAGACCACCTGGTTTTCCCATATTCGGAAACAGTAATTTCAAAACTGGCCCGTATTCTTCAAAGCTAATGTTTTCCCTAACTCCTGCCCAACAGCAGCAGGGGATCCTGCTTTCTCACGTCAAGAGAATAGAAACCGCTGGATTTCGGCTACCAAACCTCAACCTGCCTGCATCCACCTCCCCGACCCTCCCTTCCTCCCCAAACTACCTCCTACACATGTGCCTTCGTCCCCTTGCCTTGTCTTCTCAGGCACGGAAAGAGCGGTAAGTCCATCAATCTTACAGCTTCGGTGATTCTCCTCACCCGCATCCTTACAACAGACTCTCCTCCTGCATATTCTTTTCCAGAATGTTCAGCTCGTTTCTTTAAGCATTCCCTCCTCATGAAGCCCCACAATCCCACCTCACCTCTGAGCATTTTCTTACCTCTCCTCATGGTCTGCCTCCTTGACAGTCAACTCCTCCTGCAGTGGCCGCTCACCCAGCCAGTCCCCACTCTCCCTAACGTGGCTCCTGCCCGAACTGCTCACCGCCGGCAGTCCTATCTGAGGGCGTCAGTGATGCCCACAGCTTTAAACCAAATGGATGTCGGCCCTCAACTGCATGAGACTCTGCTGTCCACTCCCTCTTTTCTGGTCACACTCTGCTTCTCTGATCAAGTGTTCCTGTTGCAAACTCTTCCTTTTCTCCCTGGCAGTTAAATATTGGTGTTTGTTAAGGTTCCAGGCTAGGCTTCTTATGAGTCTAAAGCAGGAGTCAATAAACTTTTTCTTAAAGGCTAGACAGTACATATTTTGGGTTTTGTGAGCCATGCATTGTCCTGCAGTTGCAACTCTGCTCTACAGTGCCAGTAGAAAGTAACCACGCGCGGTTCATAACGGTATGCGTATGGCTGAGTGCCAATAAAATGGACGGACGATGGAGCTTGAGTTTTATATAATTTCACATCCTCGAAATAAAATTCTGATTTTTCCAATCATTTAAAACCGTAAAAACCAGAGGCGCCTGGGTGGCTCAGTTGGTTAAGCGTCTACCTTCGGCTCAGGTCATGATCCCAGGGTCCTGGGATCGAGTCCCGCATCAGGGAGCCTGCTTCTCCCCTCTGCTGTTCCCCCTGCTTGTGCGCTCTTTCTCTCTCTCAAAGAAATAAAATCTAAATAAATACATAAATCTGTAAAAACCAGGGGTGCCTGGGTGGCTCAGTCATTTAAGCGTCCAACTCCTGATTTCAGCATCAGGTCCTGATCTCAGGGTGGTGAGATCGAGCCCCCAGTCGGGCTCTGCACTGACTGTGGAGCCTGCTTAAGAAGCTCTCTTCCCCTCTCCCTCTGCCCCTTCCCCACTAAAAAACAAACAACAAAAATACCAAGAAAACAAAGAAACAAAAAAAACCCAGAAAAACTCCCCCAAAGCCGTCAAAGCCGTCAAAACCAGGCTTAGCCTGCAGGACATACAAAAGCAGGTGGTGGGGCAGTTTGCTGACCCCTACCCTGTGCCATCAGCCCTTTTAACGGCATTTATCAGCGCCCGTTGTCCCCGCGGTTCACTTCTTCAACTGTCTGCCCTGGACATTAGAATATAAATTTCAGGAGAGCTTCTTCACCATTTAATCCCAGTGCCTGGAACAGTGCCCGACTCAGGACAGACAGTTCGTATACAGTGAACGCACAACAGCTCACTTCCTGTGGTCAGCCGTGTCACCTGCGGGACACCAAGCTGAAATCACGGGACCGCTCGGGCCAACCGCTCCTGCTCAAGTGCTCCCTGTTTTGTGGCTGGGCCAACACGCACACAGACGGCAGTCTTTAAGTGGCACGGGGCCGAACCCCTCATTCCATGGGGTCGCTGAGGCCCGGGGAGGTCAAGAGCCTTGTGTGTGACCAGACCACGTGGCGCAGGACGGGCCTGGGCCCTAGGACCTCCTTCTGCCCTTTCTGTGAGACGGTGCAACTGCCCGGTCCCAGTTGTGTTGGCCAGAGCCCCCGGGAGGCGTGCTTCCCTTGGCAGGCCCAGACAGCTGAGCCAGGGCAGCAGGGCCCCCCGAGGTACGGCCAGAGAGAAGGAAGGCGCAGGGTCGGGTGCGGGGGGGCTCCCAGCCTACCTGCAGGAGCTCCCTGGTGGGTTGTTGTTGCTTCTCTTCCAGCTGGGCGATCAGGCCGCTCAGGTGGGAGATGTTGCAGGAGAACTGGGCGACAGCGCCATTGATGCTGTTGTAGATGGCCAGATCCAGCTCCTCGAGGCGGGCCAGGAGGCGGTACTCATGCTCCTTCAAGGAGTGATAGAGCTGCTCGAACTCCCAGACAATCTTCTCCCTCTCCATCTGGGTCAGGCTCTGTGCCGGAGACAGGGACGGGCACTGAAGGGGGAAAGGCTCCCTCCTAGAGCCCTCTGCGTCTCCCCCCGCCGCCCCCCGCACCTTCTCCACCCGCTCGTGCTGTCAGGCTTTACCGACTGGACACTCAGCGCTGAGAGGTGAGTTACCCCGGGGATAACAAAGAACTCCGTCCTGGGTGAGTAAGCACGGACAGTGCGAGGACAGGGCGGCCTGCCCTGGGGGCAGCTGGTCCAGCCTTCCCGGGGGCACCGCGGACACAGGCGTGTGGGAGAACAGGAGTGCCCCCTGCGCTCAGAGAGCAGACAGGCTTTCCTGGCAGGAGGAATGACGCTGGCAAGGAGACAGGGCCGCAACAAGTCTGTCCCGCAGAGCCCCTGAGCGCAGAGGGGAAGCCAGAAAACGTAAGAGGGCAGAACAGACCTCGTCTGGCAGGCCGAGTGGGGCAACACTTTGTTGCAACTGGGAGCCATGAAAGGCAGCCAGGGAAGGGAGGGGTGGGCCATATGCCACACGGGGCCAGACTGGAACACTCAATCCTCGCACCATGGCCGGGACCGCGTCCCTGAGGCCCTTCCCGTGTGGCCCGTGCTGGCTTCTGGCCTCTGAGAGTGTTCCTCAACTACCCTCTCCTCATGGTCTGTGGGTGTGGTTCCCTCTGGGCGCAAATTTGTTTCCAAAGCTAGTCTGCCCTTCCTTCCCCATCCCTCTCCCACTGACAGGGCTCTACGGCTCTACGGCTCTACGGCTCTACGGCTCTGGCTCCGGCTCCGTGCTCAACAAAGGGTCAGCAACAACCTTTGCTTACTCCTGGGGAATGTAGTTTTACTGGGGCACGGCCACACCCATCATTCACATCTTGTATTTAGCTGCCTTTGAGCTATGACAACAGAGTTGAGTGGTTGTGACAGAGCCGATGTGGCCCACAGAGCCAAAAATCCTGTCCAGTCCTTTACGGAAGACACCTGTTCTCCACTCCCCTCCTCCTGAGAATCTTCCCCCCATGAATCGTCCCTCACTCCGCCCTTCCTAAGCACTCACTGGGCTGCACACACCTTCGTTCCAAATCCTTTTGGTAAAGTCATAGCTCTCCTTAGCTAAAGTCCTTCAAAGACATAAGTGATACAATGTAACCTTAGAAATGGAACATTAAAGCTGAAAGAGACCTTAAGGAGCAACTGATTCTGTGCTTCTGGAAGGGGCTGCCCCAGGCGCGCTGGTGGCGGGACAATTGTGTCCAGCATGGGACGCCCTTGCAGGGCAGGACATTCAGCATCTCTGCCCTCCCCTCCCCAGGCACTCAGTTCCTCAAGTGACAACCAAAGGAACACCCACACACCACAGGAGGGAAGGAGAGGGCAGCCTTGCTGAAAAACCACAGGTCGAGCCCAACGTGCCCATTTCACAGAGGAGGAAACAAGCCAGAGACGGTGTATCACTCTCCCCGTCCATCCAGCTGGCTAGTGTCAGAGCCGAGAAGTACGTCCAAGTGTCTTGATTCTCAGAGAAAGGCTTTTTCTCCTCTGACAGTCCTCCCACAGAGGACACAACGGTTGTGTGCACGGGGATTCCACTCAGGCACATCAGATTATCTGTCCGTCAGCCCTGCTTTCAAGCTAGGGGAGCTGAGGTCTCAGGGGAGGTGTGCGGGCAGAACAAATGGTGGTACCTGAAGACATCAGGAGAATAAGTTCCCTGCCCAAGAGTTCCTTACTACCCCCTGGCCATGACTGACAAAATTTCACAAGATGCTGCTAGACAATGCCAGTCTAAGAGTTTGCTTTTCAGATGCAGGCACCTCTTGGGAATTTCTCTGATTTTATTTACTGTTAAAAAAAATTGCTTGAGCACCTATGTGGTGGATATATGTTATAAAAGTCTCTGTACTTTTTGTTTTGTTTTTTTCTGGTTGTCAAAACAACAGCCCCAAATATCCCTATCACAAATGAGCACATCAGTCTCTTGCTCAACCACTGTCAGCATCCATCTGCAGAATGTCACCAAAGGAGGCTAACCATGCCCAAGACCCTCACCCACATCAGCGGTGTCAAGGATCCACCCTGATCTATACAAGACTAGCAGGCTAAACGTTTGATAGGTCAGATCCCCAGCGGTTCCAACGTCAGCTCTTCTATCCCTTCCCCCCAGCCTTGTGAAATCCCTTGTTTCTCCAGGTGAGTTCCCCACTGCCATCTGGGGTTGTTTCACCCACACCTGGAAGTTCCGGGTGACCTGACTGGCTAAGGTTAAGGGAAGTAACACCAGCCTTACAAAACACAGAGTGGCTAACAGAAGCGATACTCTCTGTGAATTCCAAAAACCCTTACCAAGAGTTCAGCCCGCGCTTGCTCTCCCTGCGCCCGGCGCCTCTTCTTCAAGTCCTTCACTCTTTTCAGGTGGTCCAGCTGGTTCTGGATTTGCTCCTGAGAAAAGCAAACACAGGTGTACAGTTCAAGATTAGGCAGACCTCAGCATCAGCATGGCTAATGTGTTTATCCCACGGAGCCCGCGTTCCCTGCTCAGAGCCGGTCCTGGGACTTGCGGACATCCGCAGGGCACAGGGGGTCTTGCACACTCTCCTTGGCAGTCTGTGTGTAGCTCGAACTGGTGGGTCACCTGCCTATCCCTGGAAGGGTACTGCAGGGCTCAGTGGAAAGGGGAGTGGCCTACGAGGCTTAGAGTTGGGCTGTGACTCCACAGAAGCATAGAGAGAAAATGCTGTGACCCCTCATTTTCCTCAAAGGCGGCATGGAAACACCACCTTCCCAACCTACTCCAGAGTTATTCCAGCGTAAAATGATACATCCGGAAGTGCCATGAATGCTAAGTGATTAATTATGCACGAATGTACCCACATTTAAACGTCACTGGGCACCTTTCTGTCCTGCAACCCTCCAACACAGAACACAACACAGCGCACGCGTTCCTCCCAAGCTGCCTAACAACTGTTCCCGTCAGCACTTCGCTTCCATGTCACTGTTTGGCTGTGCGGTCTGCAGATTCCACCGTTCACAAAGGGCTACCCGCTCCTTTTATTTCGTTTAATCTTCATGGTAACTGTGTGATCTGGAGTCTCACGGCGGTTAAATGACTTCAGCAGGAAAGAGCTGCTCTTTTCCGTGAGCTTCTAGAACAGGACGGAGCACAGGCAAGTGCCGGGGAAACGCTTGCAGACTCCGCGATGGGCACCTGCCTGGCGCGCACACAGCCAGTCAACGTCCGTGTGTGTTTTGCGTGAGATCATCTGTGATCCGACAGGCGCACGAGCGTGGCGATGTGTGCTGGTTTTACGCACATCCTTTCCACCGTCAAGGGAGGGAGGGGTCTCCGCGTGTAAGGTGCCCGGGAGCCGGCAGACACCGGGGCACCTGGGGTGGACGGGTGGGGGTAGGGACACCTCTGGCTTCCTCAGCAGCTACAGGTTCTCCCAAATCTGAGTGCCGAGGCTCTGGAGCGGACGGAGAGGAAGTGACGGCTGGGAAGCACACGTCCGGCTCAGCCATTTTCTAGGCGGAAAAGAGGAAGCCCCTGGGCTCTCTCCCCCCTTTGTCCGCCGGCGCTGCCGCCCCTCCCGCGCCGCGCGGCCCTCACCTTGAAGCCGTCCACCGCCTCCTCGAGCGGCAGCACGCTGTGGCCGCGGTGCTCGCGGGAGCGGTCGCACACCACGCAGATGGGCATCTGGTCCTGCTCGCAGTACAGCTTCAGCGGCTCGCGGTGCTTCTCGCACACGCCCATCTCGCCCCCGGGCCCCGACGGCCGCTCGGTGCGCAGCTGCTTCACCAGCTGGGTCACGTTGGCCAGGTGCCGGTTGGGCCGCAGGTGCCGCTGCGGGAAGGTCTCCCGGCACTGCGGACACGACACGTTGGTCTCCGCCGCGCCCCAGCAGCGGGTGAGACACGCGCAACAGATGTTGTGGCCGCAGTCGAGCATCATGGGCTCGGCAAAGTACTGCAGGCACACGGGGCAGGTGGTCTCCTGCTGCAAGCACTCGGCCACGCTCCCGGAGGCCATGGCGCGGGCCCGCGGGGGCGCACGGGCATGGGCCCCGGCGCCCAGCTCTGCGCGGAGCCCAACTCTACCGCGCGCCCTCCCGCTCGCCGCTTCCGGGCGGCGCGGGGAGGCGGGCGGGCGGAGGGCGGCGCCTCCCGGCCCGGATCTCGGACGCGCGCGCGGGCCCCCGCGTGTCTCGGCCCTCCCTGCGCCGCGGCGCCCCGCCGAGCGGGCGTGGGGGCGGGTCCCGGGGACCAGCGGAGCCCCGCTGCGGCGCGAGGTGGGCGGCCGAGGGGCGCCACCGGCCGCACTCGCGGGGCCGGCGCTCGCGGCGCGCAGGACAACGTGGCCGCGTCCGAGCGGATCCCGGCGCGAGCGGAAGGGGCGGCCCCGGGGCGGGGCTTGGCGCGGGCGCCCCTCGCGACGCGCTTTCGCGGCCTCGGGTGCGCACAGTTCCTCTCGTAGCGACCGGGGAGCCCCGCCACCGCCCGGGGCGCGACGCGCGGGGGCGCGCTCCTCGGGGCCCGGTGACCGCGGCCGGGACGCCGTAACCCCGCCTGCGCGCTGCGGGCCCCGCGCCGAGCTCCCGCGGCCTGGGCCTGGACCCCCGAGGCTTTTGTTGGGTGTCCTGCCGGGCGCCCAGGCCTCGGCGCCGGTGCCACAGAGTGCGGGCTTGATGTGGGTGCGGGGGGAGGAGACGCCTGGCCTCCCCAGGAGGCCGGAGGATGGGAGTAGCCGGCTGAGTTGCACCATTCAGCAACCCTCCTTGCACTCGCAATTTTGTTTTTAAAAAGAAAGTCTTAATTATCTGATGGCAACATTTCTGCAAGACAGAATGAGTCAGACAAGCCCAGTTCGGCTTCTTCCCACTGTGCCAGAGCCAACTGGTTTACCCTTCAGAGCTTCGGCTTCCTCTCTGGAGAAACGGGGATGAGCGTATACCCCAAGGAGGAAAACTTCATCACTTCTTTTAGGTTTTCAACCCGAGGGTGTTCATCCATTGGCGAAGAAAATACCCGGTGCGTGGAGTATTGATTAGGACCTAGCTTGCGTGCTCCTTCCTGAGTGCAGGAGAGCCAGAATCCCACTCTGATTCAGGCTCTGCGCCATACGCATCCTTCCCGCCTTGGCATTTCCTGGTCTCCTTTGCTGGTTCCTCGGTATTGTCCTCACCCTCTTGATTTCATTGAATCCAGACAGCCTTGCCTTCCTTATTTCTCAACTTGCCTCTGTTTACTTTAATTTCCATTATTACACCTTGAGCGAAATTATTTCAACACTGTCAGTTTTGCAGATGTTTTTTAGATGAGTTGATAGCCGAGTGACTGTGAGCATTTCCACTCATTTCCCTATTGCGAGTCTTTCCCTCCAGCCTCTTTATAAGAACACCTCCAGGGTGAGAATCATCCTTAGAAAAACCCTAAAATGATCCTTTCATTCTCTCCCTTCGCACTCAGAAATTTTCAAAGCTTCCTTTTTTGCCACCAGGTCATTGTCCAAATCCTTGAGCGTGGGCTTCCAGTTAATTCTTCTGGCCTCCAACATGAAGTAACGCCTCCACTGTCGTCTTAGGAAGCCACAATCCCAACCCAGCCTCGCAGGGCTTGGGCTGTGCCCACCACAGTCCTCTGCAAGCCTGGTCATCAGTCCTACCCCTTCTTCAGAGCATATAGCCTAAACAAACTGACCGCACTGACCTCTCTCCTTTCCAGTCAGCCTCCCATGGTCACACAGAACCTCAAATTCTGAGTACTTAGTTATTTTCTAGGGGAAGACTTTGACTGCCTTGCATGGAACCTTTACCTCTCTCTCAGAGTTCTCAGTCAGGGCATACGTTTAAAGTAGGAAGTGACTTTGGTTTTCACATAGTCCAACATACTTCATAAATAAGGAAACTGATATCAGATGCTTAAGTGGGGACAGAGACTCCTCTCCAAGACGCTCTATGCTCTCAATTTGGAGTCTCTCCAATCACATTGAAAGTAATCATTATTATTTATTTATTTGTAAAGTGACCAGTGTGCAAACGTAAATGCCTGTTAGAGGCAAGAGGGGTACTTAAATGAGCAGCCCAGACTGGGGACCAATAGAGAAAGATGGGGACAGGCACTCATTGGAGGACCGATGTCCTTCCCAAGAGGTGGCTACTTCTCTCTCGCTAAAGATTGCCATTGAGAATCTGGGCCCAGATTCAGCTCAGGAGAAGGCAGAAATCTGAATTTTTTTTCTTCTTTTGATTTATTTATTTTAGGGCGCCTGGGTGGCTCAGTTGGTTGAGCGACTGCCTTCGGCTCAGGTCATGATCCCAGGGTCCTGGATCGAGTCCCGCATCGGGCTCCCTGCTCAGCGGGGAGCCTGCTTCTCCCTCTGACCCTCTTCCCTCTCATGCTCTCTCTCTACCATTCTCTCTCTCAAATAAATAAATAAAATCTTAAAAAAAGATTTATTTATTTTAGAGAGAGGAAGCACGAGGTGGGGGAGGGGCAGGGGGAGAAGGACAAACAGACTGTGTGCTGAGCGCAGAGCCAAATGCCAGACTTGATCCCAGGACCCTGAGATCATGACCTGAGCCAAAACCAAGAGTTGGACACTTAACCAACTGAGCCACTCCAGAAATCTGGAGGTTTTTGGTGTTTTTTTAAAGATTTTATTCACTTACTTGACAGAGAGAGACACAGCGAGAGCAGGAACACAAGCAGGGGGAGTGGGAGAGGGAGAAGCAGACTCTCTGCCAAGCAGGGAGCCCAATACGGGGCTCGATCCCAGGACCCTGGGACCATGACCTGAGCCGAAGGCAGGGGCTTAACCGACTGAGCCACCCAGGCGCCCCAATAAAATCTTTTTTTTTTTTTAAAGTGAAAGTACCATCTCAAGATGTGAGAGCAAGAGAGAGCAAGAAACAGAGACAGAGAGAGTAGGCGAGAGGGGTGCAGAGGGAGAGGGAAAGGGAGTGTGCAAGCCAGGGAGCTGCATATGCAGCCTGTGGGGTTCACCTTCTATCTTTTACTGATAGTTGTTAACTAGGGCAAGGACTTCTTGGAAGTAGGGTTTCCCGCCTTTTCTTCCCACTTGCTCAGGGGTTTCCCGTCGTGGCGCCTCCATCGTGGGCCTGTCTGGTGGGATCCGGCTTCTCGTGGGTGCTGCCAGCACAGGCCTCTGACCTTCCCCACAGCGGGCCACGGCCGCCTCCTTGCTGGCCTCCAGGCATCCCGTTAGAGCCTCCCTAACTGTCAGCTCTGACACTAGGATTAACCTTTGTCCTTCTTTCTTCTTTCAGCCTGGAATGTGCACAAGATGGTAGGAGCTTGGGCAGCTGTCCTGGCCCATGAAGCAATCTTGAATGCTGGAAGCCAATTAGGATGGTGTAGTGACAGGTGAATAAGCCTGGGTCCTTATACACTGCAGAGTGCTTGCATCAAACTTCATATATGTGAGAGAGACTAAAGTCAGTGTCTTGTTTAAGCCATTTATTTGGTTTGTCTGCATATGCAACAAAAAACTAAACCTAACTAATAAAGGGGTGCCTGGGTGGCTCAGTCATTAAGTGTCTGTCTTTGGCTCAGGTCATGATCCTGGGGTCCTGGGATCGAGCCCTGCATCGGGCTCCCTGCTCAGCAGGAAGCCTGCTTCTCCATCTCCTTCTACTGCTCCCCCTGCTTGTGCTCTCTTGCTCTCTCTGTCAAATAAATAATATTTGGGGTAATAAAATCTTTAAAAAAAGAAACAAAAACTAAACCTAACTAATAAAATACAATTATTTTTAAATTTTTTCTTTCTTCGCATTTTTAAAATTTGAATTCAATTAATTAACATATAGTATATTATGAGTTTCAGAGGTAGAGGTCAGTGATTCATCAGTTGCATGTAACACCCAGTGCTCATCACATCACATGCCCTCCTTAATGTCCATCACCCAGTTACCCCATCCCCCCATGCCCTCCCCTCCAGCAACCCTCAGTATGATTAAGAGTCTCTTATGGTTTGTCTCCCTCTCTGATTTCATCTTGTTTTATTTTTTCCTCTCTTCCCCTATAATCTTATTTTGTTTCTTAAATTCCACATATGAGTGAGATCATATGATAATTGTTTTTCTCTGACTTATTTCGCTTAGCATAATACCCTCTAGTTCCATCCACGTCGTTGCAAATGGCAAGATTTCATTATTTTGTTGGCTGCATAATATTCCACTGTATATATATATCACATCTTTTTTTTTTAAGATTTATGTATTTATTTTGAGAGAGTGAGAATGAGCGAGAGAGAGAGAGAGAGAGAGAGTACATGAGAGGGGGGAGGGTTAGAGGGAGAAGCAGGCTCCTCGCCGAGCAGGGAACCCAATGCGGGACTCGATCCTGGGACTCCAGGATCATGACCTGAGCCGAAGGCAGTGGCTTAACCAACTGAGCCACCCAGGCGCCCTATACCACATCTTCTTTATCCATTCATCTGTTGATGGACATCTGGGCTCTTTCCACAGTTTGGCTATTGTGGACATTGCTGCTATAAACATTGGGGTGCATGTGCCTGTTCGGATCCCTACATTTGTATCTTTGGGGTAAATACCCAGTAGTGCAATTGCTGGGTCATACGGTAGCTCTATTTTCAACTTTTTGAGGAACCTCCATACTGCTTTCCAGAGTGGTTGCACCAGCTTGCATTCCCACCAACAGTGTGGGAGGGTTCCCCTTTCTCCAAGTCCTTGCCAACATCTGTCGTTTCCTGACTTGTTAATTTTAGCCATTCTGACTGGTGTGAGGTGGTATCTCATTGTGATTTTGATTTAAAATACAATTATTATTAATAAAATATTTTATTTTATTTTAAAGATTTATTTATTTATTTTAGAGAGAGAGAGAATGAGCACGAGCAGGGGGTGGGGCAGAGGGAAATGGAGAGAGAATCTCAAGCACACTCTGCTGAGCGCAGAGCCTGAGGCAGGACTTGATCCCATGACCCCGAGACCATGACGTGAGCCAAAACCAAGAGTCAGACGCTCACCCAGGTGCCCCTTAAATATTTTA